CCTGGAACCAGTTATGTTTTATAGCAGAAAATAAAAAAATATTTTTCCAAAATGTTTTCATTTACATAATCTAACAATTAATACAAATAATAATAATAATAAAAAAAAACAATGGTGATCAATATGTTCCATGACCGTGCAATTGCCAGTTAACGTAGCACGGTGTTGAATAGCAAAAAAAAATGGCCTGGTCATGAAGGGGGTAATATCTTCTAAATAAAAAAAACTTAAAAAAAAAATCATACAAAATATTTAATTTCACTAAAGCTAAATATACAATAATTGTGTGATGTAGATAGGCATGAAAGGGTCTTCTTATCCATTTACATTGATGTCCATGGTGTTCTTCTACTCCTCTCCAGTGCCAAACACAACATATCAGCTGGAGAAATGAAAGACATGAAACATTTTTTGGAAAACTGCATAAAAATGACAGGTAACTTTTTTTTCTGTGTGAATAGTTATTTTGGTGACACGGTTCTATTACCCTTTCCCTTTAATTGCCATCCATTCTACTAACCTTGCTGCCAGCACTTTGGCCAGCATCTGATTGGCCACGTTACCTGTCAGTCAGACACCAGGGGCGGGATTACTGCAGACAGCTGTGGTAAAGGAAGAAAATACTGCATGTGACGCTCTAGAGGGGAAGCAACAGACATATGCACCTTAGGCTGCAAAGTAAAGGAGTCGCAGCAAATTTTCAGCAAATGTAATTTGACAATGAGGGGTATATTAAAAAACAATTAAAAAATGGCAAAGCCATTCGTCCTTTGAAGCTGCATGTACATTCCTCCGGTGTGAATGGGGGGGGACAAAAACACAAATGTTATTAGGCTATGTTCCCTCCGGATCAAATGTTTTTCATTCATAATAATAAAGTGAATCAGAAAAATACCACATTATGGTCACTAGATGGAGCTGATGGTCATAGAAATTTTTTATTTATATTTATAATTATTTATGTCTTTATTTTATTTAACCCCAGAATTGGCAGGTCCACCACTGGTGCCCTGTGCTTTTCACAGATGAGAGCAGGTTCCCCTTGAGCACATGTGACAGACATGAAAGGGTCTGGAGAAGCCGTGGAGAACATTCTGCTGCCTGTAACATGGTTCAGCATGACTGTTTTGGTGGTGGGTCAGTGATGGTCTGGGGAGGCATCTCAATGGAGGGACGCACAGATCTCTACAGACTAGACAATGGCACCCTGACTGCCATTAGGTATCGGGATGAAATCCTTGGACCCATTGTCAGACCCTACGCTGGTGCAGTGGGTCCTAGGTTCCTCTTGGTGCAAGACAATGCCTGGCCTCGTCGTCTTATTAGGACCCTCCCCCGATGTTGTCAGGCATGCATACAAGCACGTGGGGGCCATACAAACTACTGAGGACCATTCTGAGTTGCTGCAATGAAATTTCAGCAAAATGGACTCACCTGCTGCATCATTTTTTCACTTTGATTTTTGGGATATCTATGAATTCAGTCCTCTGTAGGTCGATCATTTTCATTTCCATCAAACGATGGGGCATCCTTACGTTCCTAACACATTACCCCGTCCATGTCAGTATAGAGATTCAGCAGTAGATTTTTTCCCCATTGAGATCTGATGGGTTTTCAAAGTCTTCCTTTAATTTTTTTGAGCAGTGTATGTCAGGACGGGGGACCTTTTTTTTTGTATTTCTTATTTTGTATGTTACTTTGCGTTTTTAACTTTTTTCTTTTCTTCTTTTTCTTAACGCTTAACTTTATTGCTAACACATAGGGGCTAATAGATGTTTGTTAGACCCCTGATGTCTCCCCTGCCCTGCACTGAAAGCTAATAGAGCACAGACCGTGCTTCATTAGCTTCTTCCCCAGACACAGCAGCCAGGTGAAATGACAGTGGAAGTGATGTAATACGCGTCACTTAAGTGTTCATTCAGCAGAACTGTCTTGGAAATTCGCTTTAACGAATTTCTCCTTACCGTGAGTACTCGCAGTTGGATGCGCAGAAATCCCCCATAAAGCTGTGCGAATCTCGCTTACCACGACTGCAGCTAAATTACACGATTCCTGCCCATCCAAATTGGTTAGCTTCTGTTGAAATGTGGGTGATTGGAGCTCCGTTACCCTAGAATCATCACACGACACTCTAAGGCTAGTGTTGCAATTCACATAAGGGCCGGCTTCAGACTCAGCCCCCGTTTTTATTACAAGCACACACGCCCCCCACATGAATAAAGTCAATCCCCTCCCACCGAACAATGCAATGGGGAGTGCCTATACACAGGATATACATTCCGATTGGAGCAAAGCCTTTCCTATTATCTATCACTGGTCCTCCCCCATGAGCCTTCTGAGGTCAGCAAACTTCCTCCCCTTCCCCCCCCATGAGCCTTCTATGGAGGGCATATTTCCTGTCCTACTAGCTCCTATTGGTATGTAAATTCTTTGTACAAGCATTCCCTAAGCTAAACACCAGTCTGTACCTGGATGGGCCCGGTACGATCTTTATTAAAACACATCCATCCAAGATACAGTTTCAAGTTGGTAATGGGTTGTAAGATATGCATAAGCCTACACGCGGAGTTCGTACTGCTTGGCGCCTTGCGGCACGAAGTCCATGTGGTACTATGCTGCTGATATGTGGATACAGGCCCGCGGTCTACTGCCAGCAGCATTCGCATCGATGAGTGGTGGTATACACGCCAGTCTATAAGCGCAGATCCGCCATCTTATCCATTACCGAGCTGAGTACTGTAATACATACATTGTACATGCGCATGGCCCAATTGCAGCCTTCAGAGCTTTAATAAAGCCACACGAGAGACATATGAATAACACTCATATATGACACATTTAAAGTTCGACCAACAATACAAAATTTCCATGACAGAACCAAGACCAGAGAAAAGCTGTTCAATGGACACCCACCCAGAATGCTTGTCCCAGCTCTGCAGGTGGGACAGAAAAGCCCATGATACATAGCTGGGGCAGTCTGGAGGGGGCAGTACCTTCATGGAGTATAGCAGCTGGGAATGTGTTTACCCACCTACCATCTGGGCAGTTTTGACATTTTTCAAACATGTTAAATTCAGAATTTTTTTTTCTTACAAAAACCCCAAGAATTTTATATATTTTCAAAGCAGGGACCCTGGAGAAAAGTGGTCACACAACGTTTGTGCAGCTGTTTATCAAGCACACATTTTCAGAAAAAGATACGGGGTGTAAGAGTGCTCACTCTGTTCTTTTGTCAGCCTGGTGGGTTGGTGGTTGCCTTCAGGCATTATGCTGGGCAGGCTCCTTCCATGCTGTCCAAGATGTCCTCCCACGGGAGACGGTGGTACAGTGGAGGTCCTCTTTTGTAGAATCCTGCCCATAGGTGAGTCCCCTTCCTGGGGCCTCCTCCCAGGCTCCATCTCATCACTCCATCTTCCACACGACACTCACTGACATCCTCCCCAGGGTTGCCTTGGTCTTCATGCCCAGCCTCCTGCCAGGGGATTGGCCAAGGTCATTCAAGTATGCAGATCTGAGCCTCCTCCATTCCTCATGGTCCAAGACTCCAGAAACCCTGACCTGTCAGAGACTCCCAGTCTGTCCTGGTTAACCTCACTACCTCAATCCCCAGGCTTACTCTTCCCCAGGCTGCTACCCGGCCTCTATCTAACAAAAACTACCTATATAACCTGGAGGGCATTACACATTCATTGTCTACCGGCCACCATTTATAAATGGCACTGGTATTTTCCTGATTCGCTCTATGATGTTTGGATGAGGAGTATTTGAACTTCAGAGAAAATAGCCTAATAACATTCAATTTTGCTGCCATTTGCAAAGCACAAATGTACATGCAATTTCACAGGGGGCCCAGTAATACACAACCACCCCTAGGCACAGGCCTGCCCTGCCTAATTAGAAATGCTCCTTTGGTTACTGAGATTTCTTTGAGATTCTCACTGTGTTCCTTTTTTTCAGGGATCGTCCCGATCATTGTCCTCACCTTCAAAACCGCAGGAGATTACCTGGAAATTGAGAAACAATTTAGACTCATGGGGGCGGAGACAGTGATCGCCATTGAGAATTACACACAGAAGAGGCACACAAAAACTGTGGGAAAAACCATCGACATCCTGATGGTGATAGACAGCGCCTTGAGGAACGTCAGATTCTGCCTGGAACAGCCAAGAGACCCGAGAAGAGAGCGGATAGAGAGGAAGAGCTTTATGCTCAACTACATCAATGAGATCAGCCTTCATCAGGAGAGAAAAAAAAGATAGAGAGAGAAAGAGAGAGGGAGAGAAAAAAAGAGAGAGAGGTGCCTAGACAGCACATGGAGTCTAGCAATAAGAGGAAAATAAATGTGCAATATTGTAACATGCCAGCCTGATGATCACACTATGAGCTGAAGGAATGTTTGAAAATGTTCATCTTTAAATCAAAAACTGTCTACAGATATAAAGATTAAGAAAATAGAGTTTTTTAACCTGTATCGGCCTTGAAAGTGCCCCAATAAGATTGAATTCTGGGTGTGACAGAAGCGTAGGCAGGACAGAACACGCAAAGAAGATGGAGAACACACAAAGCTTTATTGAACCATGAAATATACTCAACCAGGACAGTTCAAGACACTCCGCGACATGCGGCTTGTAGGGACACCCACGGTAAGCGGGCTCACAGGGATTCAACGGGACCCGGCCATGGCGTCCAACCTCAACACAGCTCCCACACAGCGTACTAGGGACAACAGGCTCACGGGGACTCAACGGGATTCTAGCTGTGGAGTCTGGCCTAGCACAGCTCCCTCCCAGCTTTCTAGGGACATCGGGCTCATGGGGACTCAACAGGATCTAGCTGTGGAGTCTGGCCTAGCACGGCTTCCACCCAGCTTTCTAGGGACATCGGGCTCACGGGGACTCAACGGGTAGCGATGGTTCAAGCACTCAGGGGCATCACAGGTAGCTATGCTCCGGTTCAAGTAAGGGATATTTTAGACGTGTAGTAGGGGCAGTTCATGACCCGGGTGGTCTGTGCGCACACCAGGGAACGTTCAGGGCACAGGTGGTCTGTGCGCACACCAGGGACCATTCAGGGCACGGGTGGTCTGTGCGCACACCAGGGACCGTTCAGGGAACGGGTGGTTGGTGCGCCCAACAGGGACAGTTCAGGACATGGGTGGTCGGTGCGCACAACAGGGACAGTTTAGGACACGGGTGGTCGGTGCACACACTGGGGACAGTTCAGGGCACGGGTGGTCGGTGCGCACAATGGTGACAGTTCAGGACATGGGTGGTCGGTGTGCACAACAGGGACAGTTCAGAGCACGGCTGGTCGGTGCGCACAACAGGGGACAGTTCAGGACACGGGTGGTCGGTGCGTATGCCAGGGACAGTTCAGGACACGGGTGGTTGGTTTACACACCAGGGACAGTTCAGGACACGGGTGGTCGGTGCACACGCCAGGGACAGTTCAGGACACGGGTGGTTGGTGCGCACACCAGGGACAGTTCAGGACACGGCAGTCGGTGCCCACACCAGGGACAGTTCAGGACATGGCAGTCGGTGCCCACACCAGGGACAGTTCAAGACATGGGTGGTCGGTGCGCACACCAGGGACAGTTCAGGACATGGCAGTTGGTGCCCACACCAGGGACAGTTCAAAACATGGGTGGTCGGTGCGCACACCAGGGGCAGTTCAGGACATGGGTGGTCGGTGCGCACACCAGGGACAGTTCAGGACATGGGTGGTCGGTGCGCACACCAGGGACAGTTCAGGACATGGGTGGTCTGTGCGCACAATAGGGACAGTTGTTCACTGATGTAACAGGTTTCTCACTGATGTAAGGTGGGGCACACTAATGTAACAGGGGGCTCACTGATGAAGGGAGGAGTACAGTGATGCAATTGGGGGCTCACTGGTGAAGGGGGGGCATTTTGATGTAACGGGAGCTCCTTGATGAAGGGAGGGGGTCATTGATGTAACGGTTCTCACTTATGTAAGGAGGGGCTCACTGGTGAAGGGAGGGGCACAATGATGTTATGGGGGCTCACTGGTGAAGGGAGGGGCACACTGATGTAATGGGGGCTCACTGATAATAGGAGGGGCACACTGATGTAACAAGGAGCTCACTGATGAAAGGAGGGGCACATTGTTGTTACGGGGGGCTCACTGATGTAAGGAGGGAACAATGATGTAACAAGGGCTCACTAATAAAAACATGGCGGGAGTTTCCACGTGACAACACACATGGTAACACACATGGTAACACACATGGTAACACACATGGTAACACACGAATAGGTGTAAATGGGTACAGAGAGTTTCCCTTTTAGAAACACACTAAACTGCAGCTTGTAGATGTGAACCCGCCCCAACAGAAAGAATTGGATTTCTGCATAAATTGCAAATCATGCAGCAAAATACATGAGTTTCTATGTATGTAAATGGACAAGGCTGAATGGGCTAGAAGGTGGCTGTATCTCCTCCTGACTGCCTGCAAACCTCTGAAAAGTGATCCACCCCAGATTACATTTTGAGGGGGGGGGGTGGTTACCACTTTTGCCCAATGTGAAAGAGGCCTAAGACAATGCACCTGTGTTGCAGGATGTCTCCATGCATGGCAAAGCTTGGTAGTGTCTTCCAATTCCTTACATGTTTTGGGTACATTGGCAGCCCAATATTTTCAATAGGTTAATGTACAATTGATGCACCGCAAAATATAACTGGGCCCTCTAACATGGAATTTTTGGCCCCAGCAAATTTTGATTATCCAAAAACAAGAGGGGAGGTTCTTAGAACATCATCTGCCCTGATACATTTCATGGTGATTACATGAAGGTGACTACGTTACCTGTGTGGCTGTAAATATTTTGGGTCCCTAGAGCTTATGGAATAGCTAAGGCAATGCATTTGATTTTTATGATTTCTGACTATTGATCTGCTTTAAGCCCAGGTGTAAAATCTAATAGCTGGATAGTTACACAGCAATATAATATGAAGAGCTCAGCTGTATACTGCAATTGGAAGATGTCTATTTACTGTAGTTGTAGATAGTGTTCCACCGATGGTCCCTCTTCTGGGTTTAGAGGGCTCCTTAACCCCTTCCATACCGGGCACTGTCACCCCCTTCCTGCCCAGGACAATGTTCAGGTTTCAGCGCTCTCACACTTTCAATGACAATTGCAGCATTGTACCCAACTACATTTGTATCATTTTGTTCACACAACTAGAACTTTTCTTTTGGTAGTATTTTTTTCTTTCAAAGTTTTTCTTTGCTTCTGTTATAAAAAACTGCAAATAAATAATTCTTCATACAATTAGGCCGAGATGTATTCTGCTGCATTTCTTTGGAGAAAATAACTCAAATCAGTATTTATTATTTAGTCTGTAGGGAAGTTATAGATTTCACAATCTATGAGATATATCTAAAAATTGATCAATCCTGAAGTACTGACAGCCAATCTAGTTTCTTGAAGCCCAAAAATGTCAGGACAGTACAGATATCCCCCAAATGTCAGGACAGTACAGATATCCCCCAAATGTCAGGACAGGACAGATATCCCCCAAATG